CCTCGCGAAGGACTTCGGGGGAACGGCAAGTAAAGCCGAGAAGAAAATTTGTAAATCTAAAATTTGTAAGCTATATATAAAAACATAACAAAATTTTTATACCTAAAATGAAAACTAAACGAAAAGAAAAGAAGCAAAGAGAAAAAGGTTATGCCTGGAATCGAACTCGGGACCTTCGATTCACCGGGCCACGTGGAAGACACAAAAGATTATTTGTCGAAACTTTATTATTAAAACCTTCGAGCCTTATTAAACGTGAATTCAAAGATATTTTTCAGAAGAATGACGGCAGTTTCGACGGTGAAAAACTAACGTAGTTGCATTTCATTGCATTTCCATGTAAAGAATGGAAGCCCAATTGCAACAGTCAAGGCCGATACGGTCTAAACTCGTCTGGGAGCAAAACGTGTTTTGTTACCGCGATGTTCGCTCATATTTTAAGGCTAATTATCCAAAATCGCTTCCATTTGCTCTTAAAGTACTTTAGCATTCGAAATTCATTGAGTGACGTTCCCTCTGCTCCGCTGTTTGTTGATGCCGTCTCCATTTTTGTTGCTTGCGCCGTTGAATTTCAAGTCGGCGTTCTCGCTCCAGAAAATTTTTCGGTGTCAAATCTCCCCCTGCGAGGATTGACAATTCGGCGTTCTTGTGTTTGCTGTTCTGTTTGCATGAGAAATGGCTTGAGATTCACCGATAGTAACCATTGTTTTGTAGCCGATAAAAAGACAGTTCTTCATGAATACTTTCGTCATTGAATCGCTTTCAGTCGAATGTTGCCTAGAAACAAAAATGCGCCGTGACGTCAAACTGCTGTATGACGTCATGGCGGACACCATCGGATATATACAAGTAAAGATGAGAGCTGCGAGTTTGCAGCTCGCTAAGACCCACACGCGGTTCACGCACTGCGTGCGCGCTTCGCGCGCGACGAGATTATAAACTTACTTCGCTCTGCGCTTCGCGAGGAATCAAGACAGAAAGGACACTTGTCATCAAAGGCTAATTTATACTTCAGTACTTCTTTCTTTGTCGTGATTATTCTGTGCATAACCTTAAAAGAGAATTGGCTAAGCTTATTATCTTTGGTGGACTTGTATATCTGTCTGGATTTGCAAAAACATAGCTAAAGAAATCTCTCTTATATACTCTCCGACTGAGTCTTGTAGTGGATAGGCGGATAGGCCACAGTAGATACACGTTGATGAGTGTCTCACTGGCTATTAACTTATTACCCCCCTCCCCTCAAACAAAATGTTTTTCATAACTTCCCATAATTCTCTCTGTATGTCAGTTTGAAATCAGCGCCCGTATTAGACTTAACTCGGCTCTCATAGTGGGTTGTCTTAGAGTTTTTTTGGCTGCCTTGAGCAAAGTTTTCCGGAAGGCGTCATTAAGCCTTATGAAGGAACAATTCTCACGTCTGGCAAAGTCTGCTGCGTCCAATATCTTCAAGTATTTCGTCTCATTTCGGGCTACGCGGTTGTAAGACTGATCCCGGGCTTGAGACGGAAAGATTGGATATTGCGAACTTTGTTGTTGGCAGTAACAAGTCTTTGGCCTCACAAAGTAGGTTCTAGGGTTGAAACCTATTCGACAAGATGATGGAAATTCATGCTGATTTCTGACCAGGCCAAAGACTTAGTAAAAAATTGTGTGGAAGGCGGGGGCTGTATGTCTCCTTTTCAACCGCTGGTTTACATCCGGGATCTTGAATAAATCGACTGTCAGTGAGTCGAGAAAAGTACCATGTGACGATTTATGTGGAGAAAGCGAGAGTTTTACGGAGTAATTTGATGATGTTTCGGCTGTGTTAAGTGTGGAAACATTATGAGTGGTTTTCGGAAGTGTTGTGATTGCCGCGAAAGTAATTTATTGTGTGATTTACCGAAAGTGTTGTCAAATCTCAGGTATGTGCGTTGAGCTCGTGTTACCAGAATACTTTGTGCCAAGCATAAAAACGCTACGTGAGTGTTTACTTTTGGTGATTTTCTCTTAGAAAGCCTATTATGTGCTCAAAGATTGTGGATTCTTAATCTGTTTTCGAGAACAGAGAACTTTACGGTCTATTGCCAGCAATAATGCTGTCATTGTTTAGCTTCAGTTAATGACTTTTAGCTGCTTCCCATTCCACTGAGATGTCAAATAGTTAAAATGCACTTGAAATTTCTTTCGCAACGTTTTAACAAATCCAGACAGATATATTCGCAAAACAATCACCCCAATCAGGAAGTTCTTGGAAGCTCTTTTTCCAAGCCCTTACTGCGGAGGGTTCTGAAACAAGTTTCTCGATAAACAGACTGAAATAATTTTTACAGCGGAATTTGGTTAAGACTATTGTTCTATCTTCCATCTGACAGTATTCTAAAGTTGCTCCAAGTAGATCAGGAACAGGAGAATCAAATGCCTTTCGTTCAAATCGGAGGAATGGCAGAAATTAGTTGAAAATGGTGCAAAAAGATGTCTTTAGTCTTTTCTTAAAGATTTCAGCAGAAGAGCTTGA